CATTTAATCCATTTCCATTTAAAGTAATTATCAATATGTATGTTCCTATTACCATTTTCTCAATTGTTGTGGGTTTTATTTTTGTAGGTCTTTTCCTACTCTTATGTTTCCTGCCTAGAGAAGTTCCTTTAGCATTTGTTGTAAAGCTGTTTTGTGGTGCTGAATTCTCTAAGATTTTTCTTGTTTTGTAAAGGTTTTGATTTCCTTGTCGAATCTGAATGAGATCCTTGCTGGGCAGAGTAATCTTGGTTGTAGTTTTTTCCCTTTCATCTCTTTAAATATGTTCTGCCACTCCCTTCTGGCTTGCAGAGTTTCTGCTGAAAGATCAGCTGTTAACCTTATGGGGACTCCCATGTCTGTTATTTGTTGCTTTTCCCTTGCTGCTTTTAATATTTTTTCCTTGTATTTAATTTTTGACTGTTTGATTAATATGTGTCTTGACGTGTTTCTCCTTGGATTTATCATCTATGGGATTCTCTGAGCTTTCTAGACTTGATTATTTCCTTTCCCATATTAGGGAAATTTTCAACTATAATCTCTTCAAATATTTCTCAGTCCCTTTCTTTTTCTCTTCTTCTTCTGGGACCCCTATAATTCGAATGTTGGTGCATTTAATGTTGTCCCAGAGGTCTCTGAGACTGTTGTCAATTCTTCTCATTCTTTTTTCTTTTTTCTGGTCTGAGGTAGTTATTTCCACTATTTTATCTTCCAGGTCACTTATCCATTCTTCTGCCTCTGTTATTCTGCTATTGATTCCTTCTAGAGAATTTTAAATTTCATTCATTGTGTTGTTCATCATTGTTTGTTTGCTCCTTAGTTCTTCTGGGTCCTTGTTAAATGTTTCTTGTATTTTCTATTTCCAAGATTTTACATCATGTTTACTATCATTACTCTGAATTTTTTTTCAGGTAGGCTGCCTATTTCCTCTTCATTTTTTGGTGTGGTGTGTTTTTACTTTGCTCCTTCATCTGCTGTGTGTTTCTATGTCTTGTCATTTTGCCTCACTTACTGTGTTTGGGGTCTCCTTTTCACAGGCTGCAGGTTCATATTTCCTGTTGTTTTTGGTGTCTGCCCCCAGTGGGTAATGTTTGTTCAGTGGGTTGTGTAGGGTTCCTGGTGGAGGGGACTAGTGCCTGTGTTCTGGTGGATAAGGCTGGATCTTGTCTTTCTGGTGGGCAGGACCGTGTCCAGTGGTGTGTTTTGTGGTGTCAGTGACATTATTATGACTTTAGGCAGCCTCTCTGCTAATGGGTGGGGTTGTGGTCCTGCCTTGCTAGTTGTTTGGTGTAGGATGTCCGGCACTCTGGCTGCTGGTTTTGAGTGGAGCTGGGTCTTACCGTTGAGATGGAGATCTCTGGGAGAGCTTTTGCCGTTTAATATTCCATCGAGCCGGGTGGTCTCTGGTGGACTAGTGTCCTGAACTCAGCTCTGCCACCTCAGAATCACATGCCTGACACCCAGCTGGGCTCACCAAGACCCTGTCAACCACACAGCTCAGAAGAAAAAGGAGAAGGAAAGAAAGAAAGAAAGAAAGAGAGAAAGAGAGAGAGAGAGAGAGAGAGGAAGGAAGGAAGGAAGGAAGAAAAGAAAGTTATTAAAATAAAAAATAAAAATTATTAAAAAGTAAAAAAAAAGAAAGAAAGGAGCAACCAAACCAAAAAACAATCCACCAATGATAAGAAGAGCTTAAAAACTATACTAAAAAAACACAAAAAACAAAAAAACGGATAGACAGAACCGTAGGACAAATGGTAAAAGCAAAGCTCTACAGACAAAATCACACAAAGGCCACCGCCTCAATTTTGGGATGATTCATTGTCTATTCAGGTATTACAGAGATGCAGGGTACATCACGTTGATTGTGGAGATTTATTCTCTTGCTCCTTGTGGCTGCTGGGAGAGGTTTCGCTTTCTCTTCTTTGTTCTCACAGGTTCTGGGGTTCAGCTTTGGATTGGCCCTTCCTCTGTGTGTAGGTCGCCTTAGGGCATCTGTTCTTCGCTCAGACAGGATGGGGTTAAAGTAGCAGCTGATTAGGGGGCTCTGCCTCACTCAGGCCGGAGGGAGGGAGGGCATGGAATGAGGGGCAAGCCTGCAGCGGCAGAGGCCGGCATGACGTTGCAACAGCCTTAGGCGCCCCGTGTGTTCTCCTGGGGAAGTGGTCCCTGGATCATGGGACCCTGGCAGTGGCGGGCTGCACAGGCTCCCAGGAGAGAGGTGTGGATAGTGACCTGTGCTTGCACACAGGCTTCTTGGTGGCTGCAGCAGCAGCCTTAGCGTTTCATGCCCGCCTCTGGTGTCCCCACTGATAGGCGCAGCTCACGTCCGTCTCTGGAGCTCGTTTAGGCAGTGCTCTGAATCCCCTCCGCTTGGGCACCCCAAAACAATGGTCTCTTGCCTCTTAGGCAGTTCCAGACTTTGTCCCAGAGTCCCTGATTTCTAGCTGTGGCATAGTAGCCCCCTTCAGCCTGTGTTCACGCAGCCAACCCCAGTCCTCTCCCTGGGATCTGACCTCCGAAGCTGGAGCCTCAGCTCCCAGCCCCCACCCATCCCAGCAGGTGAGCAGACAAGCCTGTCAGGCTGGTGAGTGCTGGTCGGCACCGATCCTCTTGCGGGAATCTCTCCGCTTTGCCCTCTGCACCCCTGCACCCCTCCGAAGCTTCCGCCCTCCGCCACCAGCAGTCTCCGCCCACGAAGGGGCTTCCTAGTGTGTGGAAACTTTTCCTTCTTCACACCTCCCTCCCAGAGGGGCAGGTCCTGTCCCTATTCTTTTGTCTCTGTTTTTTCTTTTTTCTTTTGCCCTACCCAGGTACGTGGGGAGTTTCTTTCCTTTTGGGAAGTCTGAGGTCTTCTGCCAGTGTTCAGTAGGTGTTCTGTAGGAGTTGTTCCACATATAGATGTATTTCTGATGTATTTGTGGGGAGGAAGGTGATCTCCACATCTTACTCCTCTACCATCTTGAAGGTCTCCCCTTCTCATTTTGAATACAATAAAAATACTCTTAGTTAAGTAATTTATCCAAAGTCATATAGAAAGTAGGCAGGAAGCCAGATTTTAAACCAAGCAATCTAATCTGAAAGATCAAACACCTATTCCTTTGTACATTATCTAGACATGTCACAAGACCAAGGTCCATGGAGGACTTGCAGCTATTGGGGCCACTGAAATTCTCTCCAGTCATCTCCCTCCATAGGCCTCTCGTGCACTCAAGGAACAAAACATCCAAATGACTGAACACTTTCCGGTCTCATTCTTTTTGAGCCCTTATACATGCCAGCCATTGGGCCAGGCTTTTCACATACATATCCCACATTAGAGAAGAAGAAACTGAGGCAGGAGATCCAGAAACTCGCATAAGATGACAGAATTAAAAACCAGGAGGGCCTGGACTCAAATCCAAACAATCTGACTCGGGGGTAAGTCTGTGTTCTTAGTCATACTGCGCTGTCTCCTCAACATCTGAATCGGCGCGCACAACTTCCCCAGGCCAAGAAGTGTTCATGTATACCCATATTAAATATAAGTAATATATCAATTTATTTTTTCATCCACTTATCAGTGTGAATGACTTCTCTTCAAAATTATACAACCATCATTGCCACCACTGAGTCATACTTTTGGATATAGTGTATTTTGGAAGTGAAGGTGTAAGGAAAAAGCTAACTTAGAGAACTCGAGGAAGGGGAGTCAATCTAGGTCAGGAAGTGACCTCACAAACTTGCAGTAGAGTGAAGGCAAGAATGTAGGTCAAACAAGATTAGAGTTCAAAATAGGATCCGAACCTGAGAAGGCACAGGGTGATGGATGTATATTTTATCTGCCTCATAAATAAATGCAGATGGATTATATCTTATATATTTCACTTACCCCTTAGCAATATAGTAGTTAATATAAAGATTTTAGATTTAGACTATTTGAGATTTGACTTTTTACTCTATCATTAAACATGACCTCAGCAAATTTCCAAATTTCATCATCTACAAATGGGGTTAGACATACCAACATCCCCAATTCGTCCTGAAAAACAATTGAAATAATATTGTATTAGGTGCTACAGAAAGTAGTTGCTCAATTTTTATTATGGGTAGCTATTATTTTATTAGAACTTTGCTTCGCTTTCCTGAGTTTTGTAGTCTCAACTTGAAAATGTTAACCTGATATTTTTCATTTTGCTTTTCCATTTTTCTTCTACTTCTCATAAAGTACAGCATGGTAGATTCCAGTAATATTAAAACATCTGTGTATCTCTAGTAGTAGTGTTGTACAGTAAGGTGACTTTTTTTTTTTTTGCGGTACACGGGCCTCTCACTGTTTTGGCCTCTCCCATTGCGGAGCACAGGCTCCGGACGCGCAGACCCAGCGGCCATGGTTCACAGGCCCAGCCGCTCCGCGGCATGCGGGATCTTCCCAGACCGGGGCACGAACCCGTGTCCCCTGCATCGGCAGGCGGACTCTCAACCACTGCGCCACCAGGGAAGCCTGTAAGGTGACTTTTTAAAAACACATTAGGAATAATAGATTTGAAGTGACTTTATTCTATGCAGGGATTCATCACACACATTTTATCTGAACTGTTTACCCTGACCATTTGACCTGGCCTTGAAGAAGGTTTTGTTTTGTTTGTTTTTCTTAAAGTAGAATAAGTCACTTTTTTAAAGATTATTCAAACAACTGTGCCTTGGATTTTTTGAATAAGTTGAATCTATATTTATATGGAAAGAAAAATGGTAATGTTTCCCAGTTGATTTAGGCTGTTAAGTGAAATAAGATTGACTGAGGTAGGGCCTCTCTTACCTCTTGCATTGTATCAAGGTACTTTATTCGGAAAACTTTAATATTTTTTCTGTTTATAGTTTATATACAGTGAATAGCATTTTAATATAAGGAATGCAAATTGAGGTGTTAAGGTGTCATGGGAAGCTTTAAATGTAGCACAGTTATAATGGAAAAGCAATGGTTTCACATACTTAGGATTTTTATTATTATTTTTTTTTATTTGCAGGATGAGTAAGAGATACTTACAGAAAGCAACAAAAGGAAAACTGCTAATAATAATATTTATTGTAACCTTGTGGGGGAAAGTTGTGTCCAGTGCAAACCATCATAAAGGTAAGCTGTTCTGTTTTCTTCCTCAGCTCTCTGAGGAAGGGGACTCCCTTTAACACAAACTATTATGTTCTGCTTTTACTGGTCAGTTAATTTTACTAAATGTGGGTCTGCCCATGGCAATTCTCTTTAAGTAAAAATGCAGAAAGAGTTATTCTTAATATGGCTTTGATAGGTAATGAATGATTATTTAAATGTTTCCAGGATTACTGACACTTCTGCAAATAATGTTCAAAGAGTATGGAATCGTGACTTTGTTTTCTTCTTAGCATTTCCATTTTTAAGATAATGATGTTAAAATGTTGAGTTGACACGTAAAAAAGATGAGTTTCAAATTGCAATCATCCTATAATGAAACCATCTTTAATGATATGTGTCTTAATAATACGTGTACATGTAAATTTCCTTTCCGTGCTTTTTGTAGATCATATTTCTTCATGCCAGAGTACATCTTTGGCCACTCTTTTGATTCTACCCCAGTATGATACTGAGAAGGCTCAATTCTGCCATAGAACAGGGTGACGATATTTGTTTTATATGTGTGTGTTAAGCTTGACAGCTCAAAATTATGCCCTTTCTGTTCTCTTTTTTGAGCATAAGACTCAGTATAGTGAATACTTTTTCCAAATGAATTAAAATTCCATTTACTTTTATTTTAGTCTATTTCTGGACTGTCCCTACCATAATCAAGTATTCATAACCTGAAAAGTCAATTTAGATTTTTCTGTGAAATATGATTTTACAATTCTGTTCTCTTTCCTCTGTAAAGTCCACAGACTAGCAACTTACTTTCTTGTTTTAGTTTTGATTGAAGAGAAAGTTAAGACTGCCTTGAATTTTGTAACACTTAAAATAGTTACACATGTGCATTTAATTAGCATTTAATTACGGAACAAGTACACCAGGGAATGGAAAGATGTGGTGTGAGGGAGGGATGCTTATAGGACAAAATCTTTTCCCCCTGTGTTTAAAACCAAAAAGAGTCATCTTTCAAAATATGACTTTTATAAAGAGGTCCTTCATATTTCACAATCCTGTTTTTGCCCCACAGCGTGTGTGTGTGTGTGTGTGTGTGTGTGTGTGCGTGCATTTCTTCTTTTCTTTAGTACAGCACTTGGATCCACAGATAAAACTTTAAATTCTCTTGAATAAGGGTTACTGGTATAAAATTAAGAAGTTGTTAAGGAAGATGTTATTCACGTGTCTCCAAATTGGCTGCAGTGAACCAAACTGAAGGACAAAGCAGCCTTAAATACTTACCTTGTAAAAAGGGGCAAACCCCTGGGTCCAGGCCCCATGCCTTGGGCTTAACAGGAGAGGACACATCATCTATACATGGTCACCCCAGTGCACTTTCCCAGCCTATAAAAGTAGAATTGAGAGCTTTGGGCGAGATTCATAGTTATTGTGGGTGTCATCCCAGCAAAGCAGGGGTTCATGATAAGGATGCTTTCTCATCTCCAAAGCCAAGTGATGGGATCTCTAAGAGAGTCATTCATGAGGACTGCTCCGTAGTGAATATTGCATACAATTTTTAAAGCTGTTTTTAAGAATTTTTAAGTTGTGTTATGTTCTATGCTAACTCCAAAACTAAGATCTTTTCTTACTTTTTGCCAAAAAATATATTTCTTGAACATAAGAGATTATACCTTGACTCAGAAAACTCAAAGTGCCAAAATCAAAGTTCTAAAACATTATAGAAGATAAACTTTTGTGTTGTTTTGCTGATCCATTTCCACCCTACCAAGAATATTTTGGAGGAAGAATTTAGGAAAAATTTCTCTGCCTCTCCCTCTTTCCCCTTTTCCTTTCTTTCTTCCCTTTACATTTTCCATGCAAAATGCCCCCTTTGTTTAAACTGTTTTACATTTAATAAGTGTAATGTACATATATGTTTTAGGACCTATTCATAAAATGAACACAAGTGTGCTCACCCCCGAGTTGAGACATGTAACATATCTAATTCTCTTGAACCTGATTGTGTCTGCCACTCTAATTTCATTCCTTTGCCTCCTTACCCAAGAAAATCACTATTCTAAATTTTGTGATTATAATTCCCTTGCTTTTATTTATAATTTCACCATGTATTTATACCTATCCAAATGGCATGCTGCTTAATTCTGTTGTTATTGAATTTACATAATAGTATTATACTGTGTTTTTCTGTAATTTGCTAATTTGCCCAACAATATATTTGTGACATTCATTATACTGGATGGTAACTATAGTTAATACTAATTTTTTTTTTTACTGTTGCCCCATATTTTGTTGTATGAAGTCACCACAATTTATGTATTTATTCTCTTGTACCTGAACAGTTGGTGTTCTATTTTCTTGTCATTATGAACTATGCTTCTATGAATATTCTACTTCTTTCCTGGTGCACATTGCAAGGGTTTCTCAAGAGCACATTGCAAGGAGCAAAATTCTGGGTCACAGGGCATTGCATATCTTCAGTCTTACCAGATTATGTGAAAGGCTTTTTTCCAAAGTGGTAGTACTAAGAAAGTTGTTCAAGTTATTTCTTTTTACTGATGTATAGTAGATTTACAATATTATATTAATCTCAGGTATACAACATAGTAATTCAAAATTTGTATAGATTATATTCCATTTAAAGATTTTATAAAATATTGGCTATATTCCCTGTACTGTACAATATACCATTGTAGCTTATTTTATACATAATAGTTTGTACCTCTTAATCCTCTATCCCTATGCTTCCCCTCCCTCCTTTCCTCTCCCCACTGTTAATCACTAGTTTGTTCTCTATATCTGTGAAACTGTTTCTGTTTTGTTATATTCATTTGTTTATTTTAATAACATACAGTATTTGTCTTTGTCTGACTTATTTCACTAAGCACAATACCCTCCAGATCCATCCATGTTGTTGCAAATGGCAAATTTTCATTCCTTTTTATGGCTGAGTAGTATTCCTGTGTGTGTGTGTGTGTGTGTGTGTACTGCATCTTCTTTATCCATTCATCTTTTGATGGACATTTAGGTTGCTTCCGTAGCTTGGCTATTGTAAATAAGACTCCTTTGAGCACTGAGCGTATGAAAATTTCGAATTAGAGTTTGCGTGTGAATTTTTTTTTAATTGAAGTATAGTTGATTTACAATGTTGTGTTAGTTTCAAGTGTACAGCACAGTGATTCAGTTATACACATATATGTCTGTGTGTGTGTGTATGTGTATACACATTCTTTTCTCAGATTCTTTTCCCTTATAGGTTATCACAAATATTGAGTATAATTCCCTGTGCTATACAGTAGGTTGTTGTTGGTTATCTATTTTATATATAGTAGTGTGTATATGTTAATCCCAACCTCCTAATTTATCCCTCTCCCACCTCTTTCCCACTTGGTAACCAAAAGCTTGTTTTCTATGTCTGTGAATCTATTTCTGTTTTGTAAACAATTCATTTGTATCTTTTTTTTTTGATTCCACATATAAGCAATATCATATGATATTTATCTTTTTCTGTCTGACTTACTTCACTTAGTATGATAATCTCTAGGTCCATCTGTGTTGCTGCAAATGGCATTATTTCATTATTTTTTATGGCTGAGTAGTATTCCATTGTATATATGTACCACATCTTCTTTATCCCTTCATTTGTCGATGGACATTTAGGTTGCTTCTATGTCTTGTCTATTGTAAATAGTGCTGCAATGAACATTGGGGTGCATGTATCTTTTCAAATTATAGTTTTCTCCAGATATATTGGATATATACCCAGGAGTGGAGTTGTTGAATCATATGGTAGATCTATTTTTTTTGTTTTGTTTTTGGAGGCAACTTCATCCTGTTTTCCATAGTGGCTGCACCAATTTACATTCCCACCAGTAGTGTACAAGAGTTGCCTTTTCTTCACATCCTTGCCAACGTTTATTATTTGTGATCCTTTTTATGATAGCCATTTTGACAGGTGTGAGGTGATATCTCATTGTGGTTTTGATTTGCTTATCCCTGATTATTAGCGATGTTGAGCACCTTTTCATGTGCCTCTTGGCCATCTGTATGTCTCCTTTGGAAAATTGCCTATTCAGTTATGCCCATTTTTTTAATCAAGTTGTATGTTTTTTTGATTTTGAGTTGTATGAGTTGTTTATGTATATGGTATATTAATCCCTTATCCATCATATCATTTGCAAATATTTTCACCCATTTAGTAGGTTGTCTTTTGTTTTGTTGATGGCTTCCTTTGCTGTGCAAAAGCTTTTAAGTTTAATTAGGTCCCATTTGTTTATTTTTGCTTTTGTTTCCATTACTTTAAGAGACAGATCCAAAAATATATTGCTATGATTTATGTCAAAGAGTGTTCTGTCTATGTTTTCTTCCAGGAGTTTTATGATTTCAGGTCTTACATTTAAGTCTTTTATCCATTCTGAGCTTATTCTTGTATATGGTTTGAGAAAATGTTCTAATTCCATTCTTTAACTTGTAGCTGTCCAGTTTTCCCACGGCTTACTGAAGAGACTATTTTTTTCCCCCCATTGTATATACTTGCCTCCTCTGTCATAGATTAATTGACCATAAGTTCATGGCTTTATTTCTGGGCTCTCTGTTCCATTGATGTATTTCTATTTTCATGCCAATACCATCCTAATTTGATGGCTGTAGCTTTTAAGTCAGGGAGTGTGACACCTCCAGTTCTGTTCTTCTTACTCAAGTTTGCTTTGTCTATTCAGGGCCTTTTGTGTTTCCCTACAAATTTTAGAATTATTCATTCTAGTTCTGTAAAAAAAAAAAAAAAAAAAAAGTGCCCAGCAGCACATTCCCCTCTTGTCATCCAAACGATATGCTCTCAGAATTCCCCCTGAGAGGGCTGCCTAGGTCCTTCTGTTGTGGCAGGCTGACTATGTAGGCTGACTGGTGGGCTTTGTTGGCCCCTAGCCCAGTTGATTACCAGACCCTGCCTTGTGTGGATGTTGCTAGCTACTGACTAGTGGGGCCTGGTCATGAGGCAGCTGACTGCAGAACCCCAAGGGGCCCTGGGG